TTTGTTGATCCATTCCCAGCCTTCGTTTTCCACTTTATTTTCATTATTCCTCCCTCCCTCCATGGATCGGATCCTTTTGACATTTCGATGGAGACTGAGAACAGTTGGGCTGATGGGGATCATCATCATCATCATCATAATTCATATCCGTGCCGAGGCGTGCGGTATGATGTGAATCCAACCGAAGCATAAGCTGACAACCTGATGCCCTGAGCTAGCTAGGCAGCCAGCTAGCAGATGGCAACGCGTCGCAAAAGCATGCAGAAGCAGGTCACACCGAAGATGGACGACCGCCAGTGCGTGTGCGCGACCGACGACGGACGACTGACCACCGACCGGCGGCCGGCTCGTCCGCCGGCGTCTGCCTCTTTTTCCTCGATCCATCTCCATCTTCCTGCCGTGTGCTGCCGCATTGGATGATGCCTAGCTTGTCATGGCCCTGCTAGATGCCTCTAGCTAGTTCTAGTCCCTATCACTCTATATAATCAGTCAAACCCTGAAAGAGATGAGCCTACCTGCCTTTTGCGACACACCACACCACACCAGCAATATCATATGCTTGCATGCATGCCCATATGGCACTAAGGATGAAAACGGAACGGAAATATCCCGAACTGAACCGTATCGTTTTCTATATTTAATCCGATCGAATTCGCATTTTCTTGTCCGGCTTTACCGTTTTCGCTTTCGCATTTGAGATGTTTCATATTTCAAATGTAAAAGTAGAAAACGGTTTACACATTTTTCGACCGTTTTCTACTTTTCTACTTTTAATTTGAAATATTCCGAATTCAAAATTCGGTTTAAACCGAATTTGGCCAACTGCACAGGTCATACATCCCAATTACAGGATGTTCACCACGCAGCTGCGTTCTTTCTACTGGTGGCTAGCTGCCCTCTCTTATAGACGACGCACAGCCTCATCTCTTTTATTATGTATTTGGTCGTGCACTTGTTTAATGCTATGCACTTGAACTAGATCATGCACTTGTTAGTTGTGAACTTGTTATGTATTTGGTCGTGCACTTGTTTAATGCTATGCACTGTGGGTCGGTATTTCGTATTGAATTTTCGCATACCGACCGTGTTCGACATAATTCCGCTCGAATTGGTTCGTTTCCGAAATTCTAGATATTCCGTAAGTTCGTGTTCGTTTTCGTGTCCGGCTTGTCCGCTTTCGCTTTCGCTTTCGTATTTCAAATGTAAAAGTAGAAAACGGTCGAGGAGTTTTTCGACCGAGTTCGACCGTTTTCATCCTTATATGGCACGGCTTGGTCTTTCTCCTCTGATGACGACGGGGACTGTGTACGTTGCTGTAGCGTGCCCGTTTGGCCAAATCGTCGCGCGGATATGCATGCATGCTGGTGGAAAGAGCTGCTAGCGCGTGGAAATGCTGGTCTGGTGGTGTGGGCACCCACCTTGGCTACTAGTGCACTGGATAGCCGGATAGACACGGACACATGCCCATATTCTCGATCCAATCTCTATCTAGCAACAAAATGATGAACAGAAACATATATACCTAAGATCTTTTATATGTTTTTCTTTTTCTTTTCTTTTTTGAATCGGTCTCTCTCTCTCTCTGTATATTATATGGTAACTATGGCTAGAGATCTCAATGTCAGGAGAATATGGTCAATGATGTATACTCCCCAACTTTATTTATAAGTTTCATTCAGTAGAAAGATGCGATATGCATTACTCTATGCAAGGACTGTCAGACCGGGCCGACGCGGCGGTAGGTCGAGTCGTAGAGAGAGATGCATCGGATCGAATCACGCGGTAGGTACGGTGTGTAACTGCAGCTAGCATGCCAGTCACGGGTTCTGTGTGCACGGTCCTCGATCGAAGCTACAACAGGTCATGGAGTTCCATCGTCATGTACTACTCCGTACGTGTGGACGCTGGGATGCAGCTGCATGAGCCATGCGTGCACGTGAGCGTGGCCTCTTGTTTTCCTAGTAGGAAATAATTAATAACGCTGCCTGGCTAGCAAGACCCTGCCTACTACTGTTTTCTTCGATCGGTTACGTCTGCAAGCACACAAGTGCAATGCAATCTCTACTCCTACTCCTACTAGTGTACGTACCCGATGATCAACGACGTTAACATCGATTGGACACGGTGGAATTGGACACGGCGTTCGACCCGCCGGTCTCGGTCGTTCATCGATCTGTACCTGCATGCGTCCATGCGAATCAATCACGCACGCCCGAGATTATAAAATGTTTGCCACTGCTCTGTCATCTGATGTAACCCGAAACTTCGGTTTTACTTCTTCAATTCCATCTCTTTCTTTTTTTTAAAGATAATAGGACAAAGTTTCAGACTCAACCATTCGAAGATGGTACACAGCTGAAGGTTTGATACAAAACAGAGCCATAAGGCTCATAAAATATAGAAAAGGAAAAAAAAAGAGGAAGGTTCTGCCCTAGAAAAGAGCCCCGAAACAAAGCAAAGAGCTAAGCCTCAATGCTTTCTTGTCCACCTTCTGGATATATGTGCGGGGTGAAGGTTGTCAAGTAGCATATGCATAGCAGGTTCTAAATCAGATCAGAGACTCTGGTGATGCATGGATACATAACAGGATAAGTAGTCGTGTAGAATCAATCATGTGCCGCGCTAGTCAAAAACAACATCTTTTTAGGAAAAGATGTCGCAGAATTGCTAGTCTCTTTACAACTATCCATTACCCAATGCTTCTACGTCACAAAAGCGTACTATCAATCTTACTATTACTAATTTGAGACACTAATAGAGGCTCCGTGTTAATTCTCACCAGATGCGATAGGAAAAAAAAAGATAAATATTAAAAATTCTCACGTTAATCAGAAGCATCCGGCCATCAAATCGAAAGTGTACAACCACTCCTGACCATTGGATCTATTTTATTATCTAAAAAATTACCCACCTCTACCATTATAGATTAAAAAATAGAGAAATATATTATATTGGGTCTGTCTACATGTCTGTTGACAGATTTTTACACCAATAATCTGTCAAATTTTTGACAAATAAAAAGCTGACACATCAGCCAAAAGAAAAACTAACAAATTTGCTATCCTTTTATCTGTCAGATTTCAATAAAGGGCGTATCCAGTGCAGAGAGCTCCCGCTCTGGGCGGGGTCTGGGGAAGGGTGTCAGTGGCAAGTCTTACCCTCACCTGTGCAATGCGAGGAGACTACGACTCGAACCTAGGATCTTCCGGTCACATACGGTAAGACTCTACCGCTGGCAAAGGTGAGACAAGGTTTCAATAACACATAAAACATCAACAAATATCCAAAACCCATTAGCATTAGCACAAAGATCCAAAACCCAATAATCATCCAGCAGGCACAGGTAGCAGGAACGGATAAAACGTAGCAGGTACAGGGAAATTTCTATCCAGATGCTATATATGTACATCTTGCAGAATTGAGGCATTTTTCTACATGTGCAGGTGAGGCAAGGTTAGGCAGCCACCAATCTTGACGCAGGCACAACACACAGGACATCAGCCAGATCGGTGAATTTGTATTGAATGCTGGACACACAGTCACACATGAATGAATGCATCAACGCTTTGACAGAGATATTTCTTGTTCCTTGTATGCCTTACACTACTGGAAACTCAAATTGCTCTGTGGGTGACGAATTTTTCTGTGCGTTTTTTTCGGTACGCATAGAAAAATTACGATTATTCTGTCGGTTCCAAAATATCCCGACAGAAAAATACGAAAACCCACAGAATAATTGTAAGATTTTTCTGTGCGTGACAATACACACACGGAAAAATCAGCACTCACAGAAAATACAATTTATTCTGTCGGTTCTTTAAAAACGCACAAAAAAAATATATGCACGCACAGAAAAAACATATACACGCATAGGATAAATAAAAAAACAAACAAGTCCTAACCCTAACCCGCCGGCCGCCGCCCCCAAACACCCTCGCACCCACTCACTCGCGGACTCGCCTGCTCGGCTCTCCTCACGCACGCACGCACGCACACGCTGCGCCGCCACCGCAGCTACGCACGCCCGCCCGCCCCACCGCCTTCTTCTTCCCCGACGGGCGGCCGCCCATCCCCTCCCCCTTCTTCACCCGGCCCTAGCGCCCCTCCTCCCCCGCCGGCGCCCCGCCCGTCCCCCTTCTTCATCCCCGGCAGATGGCCGCCCCACCCCTCCCCCTTCTTCACCAGGCCGGATCCGGCCCTCCCTCTCCCGGATCTGGCCGATGGCTGTGGTGGTGGTGGTGGTGGCTGGCGGCGGGGCGTTGGTGGCGGCGGTCCTCCCCTCGCCTTCTTCTCCCCCCGGCTCCCTCCCTCCCCTTCTTCTTCCCGGCGGGTGCCCTCCCTCCCCTTCTTCACCCGGCGGATCCGCCCTCCCTCTCCCGGATCCGGCCGATGGTGTGCGGCAGTGCCTCCCCTCCTCCCGCCGGGCGATCGGCCCCTCCCCTCCTCCATGGGCGGCCGGCCCCTCCCTCCCTCTCTTCCCGGCCCCTCCCTCACCGGGTGGCGCCTCCCCGGATCTGCCGCCCTCCCCCTCCCCTCACCTCCCCGGATCCATCGCCCCCCCCTCCTCACCGATGGCGTCCCTCCCGGATCTGCCGCCCGCCCCCCTCCCCCCCCTTACGGTGGCGCCCCGGATCCGCCGCCCCCTCCCTCCCCTCCCTCACCGGCGACGCCCCTCCCCCGGATCCGCAAGGAGGCCCGAGCGCGCAGCGCGGGCATGGTGGCGGCGAGCTGGTGGGTGTGTGAGGGCGCGGTCGGGCGTGCGCGGCGTGAGCAGTAGTCTTCAGCGGCGCGTGGGGCCGTAGGCCGCGGCGGCCGCTAGGTGCAAGGAGGCTGCGACGTCACGTGGGGAAGCAGGGCGCGGGCGGCAGCAGGCTGCGGCAGCGCGTGGGGTCTTTTTGTGCACCGCTAGCGAGCCAAGAATGCTCAGATATCCTACATCAAAATGCCGTCGTCTCCCCTGTGCCTCGCTCGTCTTCTCCGCTCCGTCCCGTCCCCCAAGAATGCCTCCACCGACAACCTCCTGGCTGGCTTCGTCCCCGGTGACCGCTCTCTCCTCGGCCACAGAGAAGGTCATGACCGACGACTCCATCCCCCGTAGCCAGGTGATTTCTCTTCTCTTTCAGTTTCCTCCTATCCTCTGCCATGTAGACTGATGCTTGCTTGTTCACTTATTCCCTAGATTCCCAAGGTTAAAGTCTGTTCTTTGGGTGTGCAGGACCACAGATCCGCTTCCCCTCATTCTTTTCCCCATGATCTGCTCAATGTCTGGCTTCCAAGTGCTCCTGTTGTGGTAAAAGAAAATGAATAGATCCCCTCGTTTCCTCTCTCACTAGAAGTCAACATTGCATACTTGTCAATGATATCACGTCAGTTAATTTGAGCATACTTGTTACTGCCAATGATGTTTTGGAAAAGCTATGCTGCGATGATTATTTGCTTCCTTTTCAACTAAGGCATGGGAATTATATTGTGATTCTTATTTACTTTCTTATTTGCTGAGGCTTTGGGAATTATGCTATGATGAATTACATTTTACCTATAAATGAGGATTTGTGCATATGCAGTGGGCTGAGGCTTTCTTATTTGCTGAGGTTCATTTGTTCTTTTCTTTGGCTGCTATTTTTGGCTCAGATTTCAGAACTGCTGCTATGTGGTTTCACTTCTCCACGTAGCTGCGCAATCCATTTGATTGCATCGACAAAACTGAGTGAGGAGTAAGAATCACAAGGTCCTTGATTTAGAGGTTTGTGACTTGCTTCAGCCACATTTGTAACAACGAATTTTTTAGTGCATAATATACAGATTGCTACATTCAGAAAATTCAGATTCATGTCATACTTAAAATTTATTCACTATTTTGTTGGATGATATGCTACGCCTGATAAAATTATTCTTTTGGCAATATGGTGACCAGCTGCTACCTCTGACAAAAATGGCAGTGGAAAATCTAATCAACGGTTCCTGCCTTTCATTTTCACCTTCTAATTGATATTTCAATGCTTCATCGCATTACTGCTTCTATTGAGATATTTTGCTATTTTTCATATGGATCAATTTTTACAGGAATCTCTTTACAGGAAATTATAATAGTTCAGTTTCGGTGTCCAGTTACTATATGCCCGTTTGCATGTTCTGATTGTTCTAATGATCATGACTGAAAAAACTGATGATTGTTTTTTCTTAGCTAGTTAGCCAGCTAGGTGTAATTTGTTTTCTGAATATAGTCTTTTGTTTTTTCTTAGCTAGCTAGCCAGCTAGGTGTAATTTGTTTTCTGAATACAGTCTTATTATTATTATTGGAGTTCACTTGATTGGCCTTTCTGCTAGTGGCATCTTGACTGAAAACTGATGTGAATGGATTAGTAGCATACTTAATAGTGAAGTAGTTGATAAGTAGAGTTTAGAAATTTCCTTGGTGTTGAGATGGTAATGCTTTTGAATTTCGAGATGCTTTTGGCCTTATCATACTATAAGAAGTAAGAACCAACTGATAAAAACAATTATCCATGACCACCTCTACATGCTTGTTTGTGCATATAAAAATACAACAATACTCAGAAGGTTGCTATAACATGTCCACACTCCACTTATGTGGTGCTAATACTACTCTCCATTTGTACTTGCATTTTTTATTTGAAGCTAGAAAAAGAAAGTATACAAAACTAATAGATAAGAAAAGGTACTACTCAATTGTCAATTCAGAACTCATATTGTGGGTTATAAGGTTATTTCATTGAAATTGTGTTGGTATTGGTACACAACCTTTATTAGTTGGTGCAACTCCCATTTTCCCGAAGTCTTCGTTACACTTTATTGAATTGCTGCGGCCCTAGAAATCCATATTTTCTGTTTCACAATTCACCCAAAATTTCATTCTTTGTTGCAGAATTAAATAATCTTCTGTAGTTGTTTTTACTACCTTTACCTGGCCTCTCTTGCTCACAGATAGTGGAAGCTAATTCAAGGAAGGTGGGCAAAGTCCTATTTAAGCCAATAAGCAGTGAATGTGTTGGTGTTGACAACAAGGGTGTGAACCGCCTGATCTCCAAGAAGATCGTCAAACGGAAGAAGAAGGGCTCTGATGATTCCTCTGGTGATGAGTATCCAGATATAATAGAGAATGGCTGCCCTGCAGAGGTACTCTCGTACTCGGATGATAACAGTGCTTTGTTGGAAGATGCAAGCAGTTCTAGTGCCAAGAGGTGACAATAAAGGAACTCCAAGACCATCGTACTACTGGTAATAATTACAGCACACCGTCAACCCTCCTAATACCCCTTGTTACAACAGAAGAAGAGAAGAACATAGTAGTAGGCTACCAAAACAAACTGCGAGAGCAACACCAAAAGGTTAACAGCAGTTTAAGGCATTGCAACATTTTTCAGTAGCAGGAGTAGAAATAGCAGTCTAGAGGTGCAGCGAGGTGTCGACGTCGGCTTCACCAGAGACATGTTTGTAGTTGTAGGTCTTACTAGGCCACAGCTCCACCGCGATGGGGTTGCTATCGCCGTGGAGCTGGAAGCTTTTACATTCAAAGACAGTGGTTGGCACGGCCGGGAATAAGGAGGCGGCGGCGACAACGGCAGTGGTGTCACGCAGCGGCCTGCACGGGTAGAGCAGCTCCGGGTGGAAGAACCACTTCACGGGCATCTCCCTCGGGGAGGCGGTGGCCGCAGGGCAGGGGGCGAGCACGTGGAGAAGCCTCTCCTCCCGCTTCTCCCTAATCCTCTCCAGCTCCTTGAACCTCTGCTGCAGCAGGGCGATGGAGGAGAGCATCACCTGGCCTTCGCTGCTCTGCACCCCCATGATTATTGAGGAGAGGGAAACTGAAGTAGTGAAATTCATGAACTGCTGAGATGAGATGGTAATGCTTTTGAATGTATTGATGTCGGAACATTTGGACATCATCTACATGTAGCCTGGATGCTATGAATGAATGTGCTGAACATTTGGACTCCATCTTTATATGTTGTGATGAAATTACTGTATGGACAGTCCATATTTTAATACGCTGTTGCTACTGTTTTCAAATAATTATTGTATCCAATTTGCTGTATGGGTAAGTGTATATTATTCTGTCGGTGGTCTGTTAACACCTGACAGAAAAATACAATTTTTCTGTGCGTTCATCTAACCCGACAGAAAAATATAATTTTTTTCATATGAGTGCACCTCTACAACTCTGGCGGGACAACACTAACAGAAAAATGATTTTTCTGTCGGGTTTTATTTTTTTGTGAGGAATAATGCATAGAAATTTTATTTTTAATCTGGCTGAACACAATTTTTCTGTGAGTGTAACACCCACAGAAAAATTGTTTCTAACGGCGAACACACAGAACAATTGAATTTTTCTGTAATTATATTTCCGTGTGTATTTTTCTGAGAGTACACCGTCAGAAAAATATTTTCTGACTACTTTTTTTTATCCATATTCATATTTTAAATTATTTCCATTACACTTTAGTGTGCCTTCAATATGTATTCCCTTTACAATAGCTTTATTTACCTTAGCTTTTATTACAACTCATATGTTGTAACTTCATGAATCCACACATTTTAAGTTAATAATCCAAAGTTTATTGTTGGGGGAAGGCGCCCCTAGCAGGACCCCCGCCTGACACTTGACCTCCCTCGACCTTGCGCCGGTACTTCGTCTGCACACCGACGCCCTCGCGGTCGAAGGTTTCTTTCCCATTTCTCCCTTTCAGGTACCTGCGACAGAGACTAAGCCGAAGGTCACAAATGGCGAAGAGAATCTAGAGCTGATAGGAGGACAGGGGAGTGCGCCCTTGCTTGGCGCAGCAAAGGAGAGAATCAGAGCAGAGAAAGAAGCCAGCGGCGGCAATGTTAGGGTTTGGAGTAGTTGGCCACGGGTGCAGGAAGTTATCCCTATGCCCTCGAGCGGTGTATTGGCTCTGTGAGCCATTTGCTAACCCTTTTGTAATTTCACCAATGCCCCGGGTATGGCCTATAAATATCCGGGAGCGCTGATGTTCAGACAGAATTATTTTGCCAATTTAATGGGCATTTAATCCGCATTTATTTCTTGCTCTTCCTTCGAGATACCCTCGCTTACACTCGTTTGCATCTGCTCCTTTCACTGTGGGAAACTGTTAGATATATGGGCCAGGGGTACCTGCACTGCCCGTATATGTGACCATCTGGGGCTATCGACCTAGTAGCCATCAAGGAGGAGGCCCGCAAGGGCTAAAACATGATCGATCAATGTGGAGATCAAGGCAAACCAGGGCAGATGTATCTGGACGATAGCTAAGATCAATCTGTTGCGCATATCGTGTAACAAACTAGGAACACACTTTGTTAGCCCGATCGCCCTCTGTGTAACCCTACCTCTCCTGCCTATATAAAGGAGGGTAGGGACCTCGGGCTCGGGATCCATCTTCTACCATTCCAATCTACCTTGTAGCTAGGAGCAACAACCCATGTAATTGAGCATACGAATAAAAGAGCAGCCGCACCACTGGAGTAGGGTTTACCGCGCCACCGCGTCCTGAACCAGTATAAATCTCTATGTCCCATGTGCTACCATCCGATTCCGTCTACGCGATCACGTTGCTAGATATTGCTGGTGCAAAATAATCTGACAGTTGGCGCGCCAGGTAGGGGCCTTCCGCATTCAGATTTGTTTTTTGTGTTTCGGATGGACACGGCGTCGCCACCTCTGCACAATCAAGGGAGCAATGACGTAGCAGCCTCAAGATTCCTGCATGGGCTTCGACACCACCACTGCTCGATCAACTCTACCTCACCAAGCTCAGGGACGCGATCGACGCAGGACCGCTTCAACTAGACCGCCACGTAAGTCGCTACACCGAGCCTACTTTCTCTCAATTTTATTAGGAGTACCTCCTCGACACTGCACGCAAAATCTGGTGGGAGTCAAACCACCCAGATGATGCAGAACTACCGCCATCACTAGATGTTGTTTTGCCTAGATTCTTTGACAGGCTCAAGAGCATCGCTATGGCACACGCTTGGGAACTCTTCCCAACTCTCGCGATTGACCCTAATAGGGCCGGGGCACCCCGGATAACGAAGAGATTTCATGGGCCTGACTGGTTGAGCATCAAGCGAGGTAAAAAACAGGACTATCGGGTGAATCTTGGCCACGCCATGAACCTCTCATGTCAGAATCACGTGTACTCGGTGGCTCATCTCGCCAAAGATTGTAAGACTTATCGCGTGACAGCCGCTGCGGTGACCCCACTGGTCATAGCGATAGATGAGATCTAATATGTTCATTAGATTTACCTTTATTAAACGGTTAAGTGGTTTTGAATTGTTTCTTTATATAAAAAGGGGTTCGGTTACTTGTAATCATTGGCTTGGCATAAACCAATCATTGTTGACATCGTATTGCCATTGATTAATATTTGTTCAAATAACAACATTTATCCTGAATGATAACCGATTCCTCTTATACAACCCAATGAGCTTTAACCGATTTATTCTCATGAATATGCTGGAATCGACTATTTAGTCGATCTCCTTTCATATCGGCTTTCAGAGCCGCACATTTGGGACTGTCTGGCAACACCGGCAAGTTCCGCCCTTAATTACTGATGAACTTTCTCTCCTTATCAATTACAGGGTCAAATTGACTGGCACGTCTCGGGAGGAGTGCGTAGGATCGACCACCCCTACGCTGAAGCTAGGCGGATCTATAGCTCCATCGAGCAGACCCTTCTGGCTTGCTGCGTGTGTCCTCGACATGGGACGAAAATTCTATGTCGACACACATTTCTGGCACGTCCGGTGGGACCCCACAATCATCATGGCGGTTCACAACAACAACGACATCCTTATGCTGCATTATGAAGATCTACCTGATGGGGATAAGGGTATCATCAGCAAAGCTACAGAAGAGTTTCAGAATAAATGTTTGTTGTCCTACACCAAAACATGTGACAACACAATTGTTTAGAAATTTCCACTACCAAGAGTTCTGTTACATGGGCAGACATACACAACTGAAGCTGAAAACAGACGTTTCTTCAAGGAAGTTGTAGACAAATCTATTCGTGATGCCATATCAAGCTATAACGAAGTTTTCATGGACATATTCCACAATGCCATGAGAGAGGCGATTCATGGGTTTCCAGTTGGTCAAGGTGGGTCGGCTTATTACAACATTCTAAATCCGTTGATCCAAGGGACCAATCAAGTAGGTACCAGCCATCAAGAAGCAGCACCAGCTGGTAGTGGTGATGTCTAGATAGTTCAGGGTTGATCTGAACAAACTCAAGGAACTACTGCAAATCAGACACAATACAATCCTGGACCATCAGTACAGCATGTGCAACATCCGGCGGGGCAAAGTCAGAACCAGGTGATCAATTTTGGCACATCAGGCCACATACCGTCGTTGGCTCAAAAAATAGCACCATCAATTCAAAGGATCCATAGAGATATAGATCCTTATGTCTATAATCAGAGACTTCAAGCTGCAAGCCAGCAAAGGACCTAGCAGATTGAGATTCCACAAGGGTATTACTATGGCACGGATTATAACACCCTTCACATGATGCCAAATCCAAGTAATCAAGGCACACGAGATTTCAATCCATAGATGGGTCAGCAGGTGCAGAGAAATCCAAATCCGTAAGCTGATGAATTATTGCTGAGGGTGACCGAGATGATGAAGAATCAGTTCGGTCTGAAGCCAAAAGGGCTGACCTTTTCATACAAACGCTCATATCTAGAATGGTATGATTTGGTCACTCTTTCAACAAATTATAGGCTCCCAGAATTCGCTAAGTTCACTGACCAAGACAGTACAAGTATGATAGAATATATCAGTCGATATCTTACACAATTGGGCGAAGCGTCAGTTGAGGATGCCCATTGAGTTTGTTTCTTCTCTTTGTCCTTATCAGGGCCAGCTTTCACTTGGTTTTCATCATTGCTAGTCAATTCTATTGCCAATTAGGCTGACCTGGAGAAGAAGTTTCATACATGTTTTTACACTAGGACTGGAGAAAGGAAGATTACTGATCTGACAACTATAAGACAGAAGACTAATGAATCGGGCACTGAATTTCTTCAGAGGTTCCAAGAAACCAGGAACTTGTGCTTTTCCTTAAACTTGGCCGATGATCAATTAGCTGCTCTAGCTGTTCAAGGAATGTTGCTGATGTGGAAAGAAAAGCTGCTGGGACAAGAATTTGACAACTTGGGTCAATTGGCTCAGCGAGTAGCAGCGCTCAATAGCTAATTCTAGAGCATGCGTAGAGATACCCGATTCTAGAAGAGTACCACAGTAGCCGAAGCTTATGATCCATACTCAGTCAATGACAACTATGAAGATGAAGAAGAAGAGGTTGCTGCGGCTGAATGGAATTGGGGCAAGAAGACAGTGATGGTGCTAAATCCTTGGGGAAGAGGAATCGAGGAGAGCTATGACTTTGATGTCACCAAATCAGATAAACTCTTCGATTTCTTGCTTGAGAAAGGGCAGATCAAGTTGCCTGATGGTCATGTCATGTTGCCCCCTGATCAGTTGAAGAATAAGAAGTTCTGCAAGTTCTATAATGCTAGTTTTCATTCCACTAATGAATGCAGAATCTTTAGGTAGCATATACAGAGAGCTATTCAGCAGGGGAGGCTCAAATTTGATACGCCTCAGAAAATGAAAGTTGATGATAATCCTTTCCCAGGAGATAAAAACATGGTTGATGCTGGGTTATTCAAAGGAAAAACTAAGGTCCTAACATCAACCAAATCAAAAGAAGCTGGAACAGTCGATCCCAAGATGCATATATCGGCTAACGAGTACAGAGAGA